ACACTGAGGTAAACAAACCAATGGCCTGGTTATCCATTCCTGAAGCATTATGGGATGTTTGAGGCAATTAGCTTTTTGGATGCTGATGAGTTTAGGAGCCAGGAGATGGAAGGAACTGAGTATGGGAAGCTAACATTTAAAACAATAAGGACAAGATACTAAGGGGTCAAATTCCAAAATTGTGCGTCCAAGTAGGAATATTTTACATCTGTCTTCCTAGGGTTTTGGGATTGTCCCCTATGTTGGTTCAGGCAAGGCGATACTGTTGTTTCCCGAATAAAAATGCCCTCTCCATTTAATAATAATACTGTATTAATTACATGCAGCCTCAGTAGTTGCAAGGCAGAAATAACAACAAATAAAACTGGAGATAACCACCAGGCAAAAGCTGGAATAAAGGGGGAAAAAAGTTTTGATTGTCCATTTGGGCAAAATGTGTGGCAGAAGAATGATCTTCTGGACAATGTTGGAATCTGATCATCTGAGGTTTCCCTGAATGGTGGTATCTCATGAGGATGTCCCCTTCAGAATATGGTCATCTCCATTCTTCCATTTCTCCCTCCTTTCCAAGGTGACCCAGAACCTGCTGCCCACCCAAATTCCCGTTTTTGTGCCCCGGCTCGCCAGTGCCCCATTATGGACCCGGATTGGGAATCTCCCCAGGGTGTCCCCATCGACGCCATCATATTTGGGGGCAGGAGACCAGCAGGTAAGAGCTCCCTCCCCGGATTTTCTTCCCAGACCTCTGGACCTCAAGACGTTCTCAAAATGACCTCCTGGCGTCTTCTCCCCCACAGGGGTCCCTTTGGTGTACGAGGCCTTCAACTGGCGCCACGGGGTCTTCGTGGGCTGCGCCATGCGATCTGAGTCCACAGCAGCGGCTGAGCACAAAGGTGGGGGCTCTGGGTTTGAAATTGGGCATCGCTTCCCGTTGTTCAGGGTTCTCCATCTTGCTAAGTTGGAAGAGAGTTTGTTTGGCGGGCTGGAAAAGTTAATCCAGTAACAATGGGAAAACACCCAACACTGATTTATTAATATTTATCAGAAGTGTTTTTAAAATGAAAGGGGCTGGGAACTTCTATTTGTAACCGTGAGACAGTCTGCATCTCTTCACTGTTTTGAAAAATCCTATCTTCTGATTGGTGTAACTCTCACAGTCTTTGGTCTGGGTTGTTGTGTGAATTGGGCTGGGAAGCTTATAAGCCACAATGTGTCGCTTAAAGCCTGGTGTGAGTCCAATCAGGGGTAGCTTACTCAACGGAAAAGGGGAAACTGGCATCGTGTGCATCATAACAGCTTTGTGCAAATGATACAGGGAATTAATTTGTATAATGACATCATCCCGCACATTACATTATTGGGGTTTGTAAGGATGCCTATGAACAAACCATGACTTATTCTAGGAACGAACAGCTTTTTCTCATGCCAGACCCGCAATAGCACAACTCTGCCAGTTAACAGTGGTTGAAATCTTCCAAAAGATTGATGTTTTGTGACACTTCAGGTAGAAAGACTGACATCTCGTAAAACTGGTAGCCATGAAATTGCTACTTGATTTTATATATTGTAATGGAACTTTGATTTATTTGGGGATGGGTCTCGCAGTTGCCTTCTAGAGATGTCATTTGTACTTTGGCACTTGTGGTGTGGCATCGGTGGTCATTGGGTGGACTCCAATTTCCAGCATCCCCCAAGAAGGATTTAAACAGCTTGAGGCATCGTTTTATATATCTGTCATTTCTTTTCTCTTCTCTCTTCTCTAAAATGGTTCTACAGGTAAGGTCATCATGCATGATCCCTTCGCCATGCGTCCCTTCCTTGGTTACAACTTCGGCCACTACCTGGAGCACTGGTTGAGCATGGAAGGGCGCAAGGGCGTCCGCCTTCCCAAGATTTTCCATGTCAATTGGTTCCGCAAAGATGCTGCCGGGAACTTCTTGTGGCCAGGTTTTGGGGAGAATTCCCGGGTCCTGGACTGGATTTTCCGCCGGGTGGATGGAGAAGAGAGTGCCCAAGAAACACCCATTGGGTACATCCCCAAAGATGGTGCCTTAGACCTGTCGGGCCTAAGCAAGGTGAGCTATCCGGACCTCTTCTCGCTACCCAAGCAGTTCTGGGAACAAGAGGTCCGGGAAGTGAGACAATACCTGATGGCCCAAGTGCCCGAGGACTTGCCCAAAGAAGTCTTGAAAGAACTGGAAGCCTTGGAGAACCGGGTGAAGAAGATGTGAGAGACCTGAACAGAGGAAGACCCCAAAAAACAAAAGAAAGACCAAAGATTCTTCCCCTGTTTCTTGGGGGGGCAGGCAGGGGGGAAGAGGAGACATCAGGGGGCTTGTTTACAGAAATTCCGTTCCCCTTTTCTTACCAGCTAAGCCTCTTCAGCCTCAGGTGTCCCCTATCACGTTTCCATGGTCAGGAGATGGCCACCTAACTTCCTATTGCCACGCATACCTTCCTTGACACGAGTCACCTTCCTTGATATCTCCACTTTGCTTCCTTCCTCAACGACACTGTCATTCTTCAGCTCTAGGGAAACGGGAAGGGGCTGAGCTTGCATCTTCTTGCATCAGATGGGTGTTGGTACCCTTCTGAGATGATGATTCTTGTCTGCGCAGTTTCTCTGTAGATGCTCCTGAGAGGCTTTGATCTTTGACCAGCTGCCTTTTCCTTTTTTTTAACTTGGAAAAATCACTGATAGAGAGGGAAGAAGGGAAGACGAGGGAAAAAGGACATCTGAGGCTAACATGGAGGGTGGCTCCAACATTTATCTCGAATGCTGCAACTGTTATATCTTGGGGTGCAGAAACAGAGTTATCTATGATACCTTCATAGTCCTACCATGTTTAGGACATCAGTTCAGCTCATTCATAGATTCTAGATCTGTTACTAACACCCATATTAATTAGAATATGGCACAGGCCATCATCCTTAGTCATTCTGTCTCTGGATCCACATTTCACACTGCCTTATTTTGAGTCAGATTATCGATCTGTCTTCAAGGCAAGGTTACTTGCTTAACCTCACAGAGGTCCCGTGTGATACAAAACCGAGGAGGACCTTTTAATCTGATGAATTCCCTCCTTTCCCGTCCAGTACGTGAACTGTTGCCCCTTAATTGGATAGATTTTGTAGATTCCTTGCAAATTGGGACAAATCATGAATGGTTTTTCTGCACTGAGGGAGATCAGAAAGCCCCCCAAAAAATCTCCACCAAGCTGTGCATGATGATGGATCAAACTGTTGAATTGATAAAGTTACCTTGCCCACTCCGGTAACATTAGCATACGGCATTTCTGCTCTCCTATTGTTGCATTAGTTCTACGTTTATCCACCCACTGACACATAGTGCAAACCGAGAAACATTGCACCCAGAACATCCAGCTCTTAAGCAAACCAGAACTGTGTTACTAAGTGTTAAGTTTTCTTTCTACTAATTAAACATAAAACAGTCAAGATCCATCTATATTCTGAATCCTCTCTCAGCATGCTACAGCTTTCCTACCAACATGTAACATGAGGATACTTCCATCCAGTTCTGATTTTTGTAAGACTGATTATGATGGTCTCTAGTAGAGTAGTGATCCCAGAGGTAAAATCTGGCTGCAGACCCTAGAAAGGTAACTGAGTCCTGCTGAGCAGAGGTAGAATGATAGAGCTAAATAATTTTGCTCCTCTCAGAAGAGCTAAATTTATGTTGGCTTGAGGAACATTAATAACTTGGTTGAAATGTTTAGTTAATTTGTCCATTGCTGTAGCAAGAATGTGGGTTGGGGTCTTGAGATCTTTCATCAAGCATAGCCTTAAACAAACCAGGGGTGTTGTAAGGACTAATGTTGGAAAAAAATAGCATCCCTTTGAAAGGAACCTGTCTGCGCTTGGGCAGAATTTGGGTACCATCTCACCATAATTCCATTACCAGCCTTGGACAGGATTCAGATTAGGGTGGGTTTGGTGTCTTTTAATATTGCATTGCTAATGAAACTTTTGGAATATTTAGATATTTCCATGACATCACAGCAGTGTGACCAATAGCTAAGGAGGACTTCATTTTTTAGCCTATTGCACATCTTAAGAAGTTCAGTGAGGGGAGTAAATTACAAAACGTGCCTGTTCCTTACACACTAAAATGATAGGCTTGTTACACTTAATCAGTCAAGAATGTTAGTAGTTGGCTATGATGTGGAATCTTTAATTGGTGCTCAATGTGATAGTCCATTTTTTTCTTATTTCTCTACATTCCTAGTACATCTAGACCCCAGATAATGGGTTTTTATGTCCTTGCTTGCCTCTTTTAAACTGCAAATAATGCGCTGGATTTTATTCTTGTGGTGAGAAGGACACACTGCTGAAGAGAAAAGAAGGAGCCAAGAAAAATAAAACTGGTCAACATCTTTGAGTAGAGTTTTTATGAAGGCATTTTGACCAGAAATGAGGCAGCATCTACAAAGAAACACAGAAGATAAGCTAGATGTTCGACTGCAATTTAATTTGTGTGTGTGGAGGGGAGGGTTCTCAAACATGAAACATGTTTTATTAATAATAAACTAAAATAAGAATAATAATTCATGATCTTTTAAAAAACATTGTTCCAAATCAGTGGAGCAGGTTGTGTGTGTTTGTGAGTGCGTGCAAATGAAGTGGAGGAAAAGGGATACACACTTAAACAGAAATAAATACTCAGTGTTTATTTTATTAATATATTAATAAGAAATAAATACACAATAAGCCAGCAGATGTGAGGACTTCAACTCCCAGAATTCCTAGCTAGCATGGCCATTGCTGAGAATTGAGTTGGTGGCAACCATTTTCGGGGTGGGGGGGTGTTGCAGAGTTGGGGAAGACTGTGTGTGTGTCAATCAATAGATTTAGATTCACAGCTTTTAAACCAAAGTTAGTTTGGCTGTTGACTTCCTTGGAGCCTTTAGGAAACAAAGTGTTGCGAAGACGCATATAAGAATATGCAGAACAGAAGGATTAGGATGTAGCCATTTATAAATTCACTCGGAAATTAAAAAGAGGAAGGAAATGGGAGAGAGATCTGCACTATTTCAGCTACACATATTGAGGCTCGGAGATAGGCATTCCCCACCGGATGGGCTGCCCCAAGCCATCGCTAATCCTAACGTCGAAATTCTGATGTGCAGCTGTGCTACTTCAGGGGCTGGAGAACTGGCGCCCGTTACTCCTCTTTGTTATTCTCCAATGATAAAAAGTGAGGGAAAAAAGGTTGCAAATTTTATCGTTTCTGCACATCTACCTGAACCTGGAGCCTTAGCACCCTCAGTTGGGCTTTCAGGTTGTTCACACAACTCGCTTCTCTTTGTTACTGCATTAAGCCATTTTCTGGGGTTGCCACAAGGCACAAACCATAGCTGACACTAACCTCGGTTAGTGTGTTGTGCAAATGCATCTGCTAGGTCGTTAACTTATGTATGAACGTGGCCATTGTGTAGGAGGCGTTTGGGGAAATCCCTACCAAGCATTCCAAAACCTGGGTTGGTTATGATAAATCTCTCATAAGAAAAGTTGTACCTGCAGAAGAAAAATATACATAATATTCAGCCTCGAGTGCTGGATCAGGGAAAGGGGAAGAGCGCAAATATCTAGAGAAACCTAGTTTCAAATCGCCATTATTTAACATGATGGTGGTTTTCGCCCCACAGACTTAGCCACCAAAGGCTAAGCTTGGCTACTTTTCAGCTTGGTTGGTGTTGGGGTTGCTCGGGTGGCTTGACATGTTCTGCAAATCCAGCCTGTGTGGTTACTCGGTGGTTCAATATATTGTATGAACCGCCCAGAATGTGTTCATGGCATAAACCGGTTAAGCGTGTTGTTTCACAGATGCTTAACCATCTCTTCCTGGAAGCCCTTATGATCTCAGGATGGCCTCCAGTTCTGTCGGACTACAGTGCCCTTAATCCACAGGCAATCCGTCCAACATATTTGGGGGACTCCCAGTGGGGGAAAGCACAGCAAAAACATCCATGCATTTGCTGGGCGTATGTAACAGGCTCTGATGTCAGCATGACTCTGAGGAGCCAAATGTGTATGTAACAAACACGCTTCACAATGCGTGAACTTTCACAGCTTTCTAGGCTTCCACTGAGCAACCATGTTGTTCCTCTACTGTGGTGTTCTTCAACCTTGGTAACTTGAAGAGGCGTGGATTTCAACTCCCAGAATTCCCCATCCAGCATGTGTGGACTTGCTCGGGAATTCTGGGAGTTGAAGTCCACGCCTCTTCAAGTTGCCAAGATTGAGAAACACGCCTGTATAGCAATAAAAAAACAAATCCTGCCGGGAACTAATGGACTTGTTTATGTAGCAACATGATACGTGCTTTATCAACACCCGCCACAACGTCACCTGCTTCACTATTGTCCAATCAGAGAGCGAGAAAGTTCCTCCAGAGCCCGCCTCCTCTCCACGACATCAATCGGACTGCCCAAGGACTTTGCGCGAGAGCGTTTACACAACGGCAGCTGTCGGTCAAACTCAAGGAAGCCAATCCGAGAGCAACTCTTCTGCCCACCGCCCGCCTTCCGGGGGTGTTTTGGACCAAATCGATAACGCGTTTACCTTATCACCTAGTTTACAGCGTGGGCGGGGCGAGGAAGGGTCACAGCAACCAATCAAAGAAGAGCAGACCTCCTTTAAAGCCTCACGTACCACCACGTGGGGTAGAAGGTCGCGGCCAATCATTTTGTAGCCGGTCGCCCCTCCTCTCGCCCCTGCTCCACTTGGGTTCGAGCGGCTGCCCCTCTAAGATGTAAACAAGGCCTCGCGCTCCGACCGTTAGAGGGTGAGGAGGGTCTCGCGCTCACGGCGGGGCGGGGGGGGCAGTCGAAGGACGAGCGGGCGCCATTTCCTTGGCCGGTCTAGACAACCCCGAGGCGGGGGGAAAGTCGAGGGGCCAGAAAGAAACTAATGCAAGAATCCTTCTGATTGGTGGGCAGAACGGCAGTTGGGCAGCAAGAGTGTCCCCCCAATATGGCGCCTGCTGATTGGAGGAGCGTGGAAAACGGGGGCCGCCCATTGGCGGAGAGGTGGTAGCGGCCCGGGAAGTATTCTAACATGCGGGCTCCTGATTGGTGGGCTGCAGCCGGGGGCTGTTGACGAACCGAGGTGAAGGGTTGCGGGGGGCAGTTGCTCTAACAGGCGCCTCCGAGATGGGGTTGTTTAGTTAGGGGACCCCGTAAGCCTTTCCAGCATTGGATGCTGGGATTGGGGACCCGGAGAGGGGCCACAGTTAGGCGAACGGGTATGGGGGGCAAAACAGGGAGGCCGTGGGAACAAGGAAGACCGTCCTTTGGTTCCTGGACGCTCCTGATGTGGCTCAGAGGCTCTGGCTGGTGGGAACACTCCTAGTCCGCTGGAAGGAGCGAGGCCGCTTCCTCAATAAGAAGGGACTTGATTGACGGGTGGCTTTGCCATGTGACGGGAGGAAGCCCATGATGCTCTCTCCTCCCTGCCTCCAGCGGCGTGCAAAGTTCTCTGATCCCTGGGGCAGGATTTTCTCTTTCACAAAAGTCTCATTTCTGAACACCAGGAGGGGCAGTGTATGTGTTTGGCAAACCTGGAGAATGCCCTAAGACATGGGCTCCCGCAGCAGTAGCAACGCTGGCTCTGGGGGCCGGGATAACCAAGGCAGCTGGTCTCAGAGGGACTCAGGGATCCTGCGCAGTGAGGACGAGGACGACGAGGATGTGGATCTGGCCCAGGTACTGGCATATCTACTGCGCAGGTAACTCACCTCCCCCTCTGCCCCCTTCTACCAAACCATGGCTATGGGATACCTCCTGGGCGAGGGATGCAGTTCCTGATCCTTACCCACATTAGGATGTGCATAGGCTATCTTGAGGAGACCAGGGAACAAGCCTTTCTCCTAAGCATAGGAGTTCTGTCAAGGCGGGAAATGGAGAGGAACTAGGCATATCCTTCCCATCTGAACTAGTGATCTGGATGAAGAAGATTGACTCAGTAAGTGGAACCTAAAGTTGTTATTTGGCGTGGAGCCTCATGAGGCATTCCTAGAAAACTCTGTTGTGATCAGTTTTCTATTGAGCTGGTAAGGCAGTGTTTCTCAACCTTAATGATTTTAAGATATTGGACTTCAACTTCCAGAATTCCCCAGCCAGCCAATTCTGAGGGTTGAAGTCCACATACCTTAAAAGTTGCTAACGTTGAAAAACTCCGTGCTAAAGATTTTTTAATAGGACGTGCATATCTGGGGAACAGCGTACCAAATATTTTCCTTAAGGAGCTAAAGGGTATATTTAATAATATTGGCTGAACCACTGAGTGAGGGTGGTATTATTTTCATAAAACACATAAATCATAGAATCATAAGAGTCATGTCATGATTAAAGTTTAACTGCTCTCCTAACTGTTGGGTTGGATTCTCGTCAGAAACCAATAGCGTGTTTGTTGGATCCCATAATTTGCAGTGGCTGCTTACCTTAACGTTATCAGTCCCTTAACATTGTTATATTTTCTTGTGGAAGAAGAGTTTATGTCTGTGCCACTTTTGGCATTCAGTTTTGATGGGGTATGCACTTCTGCCTACATTGCGTAGGATGGGAGAAATTTCTAAGCATTTAAAATAAGATTCTGTCAGCGCTATTACACTTACAGAAATTTGACCAAGGAAAGAGATCAAGCACACATGAAGGACAGAGGAAATGCAACTATTTCTTGTGGACTGACGAGGAAGGTAGACATTTCTCTTTGGCACTTCCCTAGCCTGGTTTCTGTAATGATCATGGAGCTGGAAAAGATCTCAAGATCATCTTTTGTGCCTTTTCATCATGTGACATGTGGGAGTTAAAGCAGCTGCATAATTAGCCAAATCCAAGAAGTTTTTCTGATTCATTAGCTTTCTGTCAAGAAAACATTTGTATGTTCAATTTCAACATCTTGTGTACTTGCTAATTTAGCGGAGACTTCTTAGAATAGTGTGCAACTTCAAAAATTTCATTTGGTACTGCATCCAGTGTAGCCCATTTCCTGCTAAGCATAAGTTTGGGAAAAAAGTATTCAACTGGTAGTCCACATGTTAGTGGGCATGAAATTTCTGGGCCTTGCTCAAAAGCAGGTTTGTCCCACAAAGCACAAAATAAATTGGGATAATTCCATCTCTCCCAATTTGCAGTCATGTGTTTATTTTATATCACTCTGGAAAATTTGAGACCAGCTTCCATTTTAATGCCTGAAATTCATGTGGAAAGTAATATGATACAGTGATTTCTTCCTTGTATTCCTTCATCCTTGTATAATGGTTCTTGTCTCTGAAAGCTGAGTTGTTTCATTTCTCTTAAGTCTTCTTGGAGCCTTCGGGCCAGTGTTTGCTTCAGATGAAATAATTCCATGGCTGCTCAGTTAAAACTATTGGAGAATGAGAGGAAACAGGAAACAAAAATGTTGCTCACTTCCTTTCGTACTTGTGAGTGTACTATGGGGAAGTAGTTCATGGAGCAATGGATTTGTAATTCCTAATACTGCTCTTTGTCTCCTTCCTACTCTCCCCAGGGGACAATTTCACCTGATGCAGGGAGGGGGAACCGCCGGTGCCCGGGTGTTCCAGGCGCTTTCTGATTCGGATGATGACACTGACAATGCTTGGGAAGGACGATTAGGAGATCAGTACAAGCCCCCAGGTATCACGAAGGCTTCCACTAAAGAAGTCAAGTGTTGTTTTCTTAATGAAGATGCACTGCTTTGAGTTTATGTAATAGTAGTAAACAAAAGTTAATAAGGTCGGGCTTGTATTTGAGATTGGAAAGATGCAAGATTAGGCCTCAGAATTCTGAATGTTGTATTTTCTCTCCCCACTCTGAAAAGTCTGGTCTTAGCATGTCCCACTCAGGCCTGTTTGTGATCCACAATTCTGTCTAAACACTAAATTAAACCTCAGGCACAACACCCAACGTTCAGACAGTCTCAAACTTAAAATAAACCAAAGCCCAAGGATTTAGTTTTCCTGGCTACATAGATATCCATAAAAATATCCAAGTTTGCCTAGGGCTATTTTATATGCAGTCTCTTTCTTTCTCTTAATCTTCTGCAGTGGATCTGACACCCGATACTCGTGATCTTGAGTGCAACGAGATCAAAACGCGCATCCAGTTAGCAACAGGCAGGCTTGGCCCAGGGCGAGGTGACCATAGCATCCCAAGACTACTTTGCCAGGTGTCCTGTTTTGCTGTCCTGAGATGTTGGAAACAAATTGGTCCGTCTTGGCTTAAAAGTGCAGGGTGGGATCAAGATGGGGGAAGCGGCTTTGAAAGCAGGCCTTAATTTCAAATTGGTCTTGTCTGGAAGCAGGGCCTCTGATCTGAGAAGTATCCTCCCTCCCCCCGTCCGATTGTGAGGGTGCAGGTAGTCTGCTCTTTGAGGCACATTCTCCTGTTTCCTGCTGCATGGGCTTGCTGCTAAATAAATGACTTTTAGTTTTGCCCCAGAAGTGCTTTCTGTCAAGAAAACATTTGTGTGTGCAGTTTCAGCATCTCGTGTACTTGTTAATTTAGCCCTTAGTCACAGGGTAGAACCTTGCATTTCAGCAAGAAACGAAGGAGATTTCAGAGTGATGTCCTCGGGCTACTTTGGTACCAAAAAAGAGGCCTCTCTCTGCGGTAGCTCTTTCCCCTAACAAGATGTTTTACTAACTTTGGCTTTCTGGATTGTTTTCCCTTGTTTTCCTGCTACTAGAATAGATTGTGAGAAGATGGTTGTAATTTCCCCCCTTTTCCTTTCCCACAGAGGGAGCGAGGCCTTTGTCATAACAGCAGTTTCTCTGCTGGAGAGTGTTCGCAGATGGTGTCGCAGTAAGTATCTGATAAGAGAGATCCTGCATGTGCGTGTGTAAATTCCCAGGCAAGAAACAAACAAGTGATTTCAGAAGAGAATCTCTGCCAGAGTAATCTATGCCTCATCTTTGCTCTCCTTCCAGCTTCCTCCCCAATCACTTGACCTTCACAGACTCCTATTCTCAGAAAGCCTTCTGTGGGATCTATTCCCGCGATGGACAGGTCTTTATGTCTGCTTGTCAAGGTACTTCATAAACTTATTCTAAAAAAATGGTCCCTATTTTAGATCATCTTCTTTGTTTGGCCTTTTTGGGAACAGAATGCTGGAGAAGACAGGCCTTGATCCCTCCATCATGGTTATTACATTCTTGTTGCATTCTGAACCAAGACAGATATCCCATTTTCTGTTATCACAAGATCAGTAAGCAAAGTCTTGGAATCAATTAGAGTTTGTGATAAAATTCTGTTCAGAGTTCTCTTAATAGTTTTTGACTCTGGGACAGAGTTTCCCCTCTGCACAGGGCAATAATGTGGTTTGCATCGATTTAGCTTAGTGTGCTATATGAACCTGGCCATTATGGTTCATCGGTCCTGGTTTATTCCTCAGTGTATTCTGTGAATCCACCCAGCTGTGGTTTATTCAGAAAACTCAGATTTAATCGGTCATAGCTTAGCAAAGTGGATGGATCAACTGTGAAATATACTAGTATGGTATATATGCAAGAAGATGGGAAACCAAGGTGATAGTCCTACAGCCAGGCTGAAATGCTTGGCTGCTAGGCATTGTGCACAAGAACGCTTTCTGTTCCCTTTTTTCACTTTTAGACCAGCGAATCCGCTTATATGACTGTGCCTATGGAGCCTTCCGGAACTTCCGGAGTATCAAAGCCCGAGACGTAGGCTGGAGCGTGCTGGATGTAGCCTTTACTCCAGACGGGGCCCGTTTCCTCTACTCCAGTTGGTCAGACTATAGTGAGTATGGCTTTTCTGGGAAGCTGGTGCCTTCAGGTGGCACGTACTAGCAGACTCCCTTGCTCCCTTCTCTCTTAGTTCACATCTGCAACATCTACGGTGAGAGTGAGACCCAGACAGCACTGGATTTGAGGTAAAGAGGAGGCCCTGGCCAGCCCCATTGAATGAAAGAGACCCAGCCTCTGGCATAACGTCTTTCTCTTCTTTGCAGGCCCGATGAACGCCGCTTTGCTGTCTTTTCCCTCGCAGTCTCCTCAGATGGAAGGGAAGTGCTTGGCGGGTAAGCCGGCCATTCTGAAAGTTGTCTCTTTCCCACAGAGCAGGGCCCCCATCAGCCTTTCCTGCTTTGAGCCTTTGGAGAAAAGATCTTCTAGGCATCCTCTGTTGGCCAAGAGTTTTCTGGGGATGTTCTGCCATCGGGCTCCTTCCGCCCCTCAGCCGTCTCTCTCAGCACCCCTTCTGCTTGGAGGCAAGGAAGCGATGCCCCTGTGTCTGCTGGCTCTTTCTTAGTGGCAGAAGAAAGCAACCTGGGTCCCACTCCTAGCATTAGTTTTGTAGGCCCATTTGAATCCCAAAGGCAAAGTAGAAATACCATGACTAAGTTTAAATGCATTGATCTTTGCTGTTCAGATATTCTTCTCCTGTGCAGGGCTGCTGCCTAGGGCCCTCAGCTTGACCCCCGCATGCCACCTCACATTGTCTTTCTTCTCTACCCACTCCATAGGGCCAACTACGGCTGTGTCTACGTGTTTGACCTGGAGCAGAATAAGCGAACGCTCAAGGTACTCCTGGGTTGGACTCTTTGGTCCTCTAGCATAGTTCTTTCCTAATTACCAAAGTCCAGTGCATTGTCTATCTGGCTAAGGGAAGCATCATCTGAGGCCCCAGAGCTGGCTGGAGTGCCCAGCAATCTTGAGTTGTATCCTCCAGAACCCCTCTATGTTGCCTAATGTGGCCCCCTCAGTTTAGCAGCAGCTTTTGTGGGCAAGTGGGCAGGGTTTCTCATTGAAGCCCATCAAATCTCATTTTGGGGAAAAAAGTATTGGAGTCAGAAAGCACGTGCTGTCCTTTGCAGTCCCCTTCCTTCCTTCCTTGCCTCTCTGTTCAGTTTGCTCCCTTTCCGCAGATCGAGTCCCACGAAGATGACGTGAATGCTATCGCCTTTGCTGACAATAGTTCCCACATCCTGTTCTCGGGGGGCGATGACGCCATCTGCAAAGTGTGGGACCGGCGCACCCTGAGAGAGGATGACCCCCGGCCTGTGGGGATCTTGGCAGGCCACCAGGATGGCATCACCTTCATCGACAGCAAAGTAGGCATGGCTCCCTCTTGCCCTAAAGCCCCCCAGGGATGGTTGCAGCAATGTCCAGGGTCATCAGAAAGCTGGCTTAAGGAAGACCCTTGGGGCTGTTTCCCTTTTAAAGATCTCAGAACAGATTCTGCATGCCGTGATTATTTCGTTTCCTTTTTTAAAAAATGCTTGGGATCTGGATGGCTGTGCAGTGAACTCCTTTGAACTCCCAGTGAAAACACAGCTGCTGTGGAGAGTCCCGTACCTTTTAACAGAAGACGCCTTCCAACATTGGATTAATCACTCTAGGAAGCAAAGCAAAATCTAAATTAAGGCTCCTTGGGTCCTCCAGGTCCTCCACCTCTAAAGGACGAGGTGCCCCTGCAGGAAAGAATTTTTTTTTTTTTTGAGTTTAGGACAGGTGAGTTGAAACGGTTTCTTATGCGGCTGTTCTCCTCCTCCCCCAGGGGGACGCTCGGTACCTCATCTCCAACTCCAAGGACCAGACAATTAAGCTGTGGGACATGCGCAGGTTCTCGAGTCAGGAGGGCCTCGAAGCATCCCGGCACGCTGTCACCCAGCAGAACTGGGATTACCGCTGGCAACAGGTGCCCAAGAAAGGTGCGCTGCCCCAGGGCATCGCTCCCCCTCTTTAAGGGGGAGGGGCTGGAGTGGGTGTAGGGTGTGTGTGTGTGTATGCGCGTGCAGAGAACAACTTTAGTCTAGCCCAGCAATGGCGAACCTTTTGGGCTTGACGTGTCAAAAATTTGGAAAATGCCTAACTTGATTCTACTGGCTTGTCACACACCCGCCGAACAAAAGAGAAACAATTCTTTACATACTCATTGATTTAAAAAAAAACAAAACAGTCCAGTCATATGCGATGCTATGTATTATATAAAGAAATGTCAAATCATTACAAAAATGAAATACAGTGGTACCTCGGGTCATGAATGCTTCTGCTCACGACCAATTCGGGTCACGAACAGCACCGTTCGCAAAATTTTGCTTCCATTCGCGAACGCCGGATTGGGTAATGAACGGGACCCGCGGCCTTTTTCCCTGCCGTGACACGTGGTCGTGGCTTCCTGTAGGGAGGGGGACTCTCCCTCCAAGCAATAACCGCCTCCCCACCC